ATAATATAAGATAATATAAGATAATATAATATAATATCATATAATATAATATAATATAATATAATATAATATCATATAATATAATATAATATAATATAATATCATATAATATCATTTAATATAATATAATATAATATAATATAATATCATATAATATAATATAATATAATATAATATAATAGAATATAATATAATATAATATAATATAATATAATATAATATAATATAATATAATATAATATAATATAATATAATATAATATAGTATACTAATATAATATAGTTATATAAGCCCTTCGCCCAGCCTTGACCAGCGCAGCGGCTTCCGCAGGCGTCTCCGCCTCGAGTACAGCCGAGGGAGGGTCGCGGCCTGGGCGAATGGGCAGAGGACCGGTGGAAAGTCCTAGAAGTCAGGGGCGCTCTTAAGGACTTTAGGGTCCGGGAGTGCGGGAGATTGGCGTTTAGGGTTTAGGGTTTTTGGGGCTTCACGAAATTTAGGGAGCCGAATAAGGCATGGACGCGTGAGAGTTGATGATGCCGGAGGCGGATACCGAACTGAAGAGACTTTGACATGTTAGCTGCAATGTGGGACTGATGTTCATCCTGGGCGACCCCCCAAAATGTCACTGAAAATCTAAGGGGAGCGGGCTGTGCCATGAAGCTGCCCAGCATGCGGTCATAAGATTGTCCAGGGCATTCGGATCGCGGCGGCTTTCATCAGGTTGCTTTGACTCCTGTGTTCCTGCGGGCTTCGACTTTGCGTGTCGAATCCGGGTCTGTTTTGCTCGAATGAGGCACATCCAGATGCTTTGCGACCAGTGTGTCGGTGGGACTGAGAACGACAGATTCCACACTGACATGACTCCACAAAAGAGTTGGCTGCGCTGTCTAGGTCGCACTGCGAAGCAGTGCTCAGAGCAGTTCAGAGGTAGGGACAGCGTCATCGGTCGCAAAATCTTGGGCTCTTGCCGAAAAACGTGACCTGCTGGACCTTGCCAGTCGAGCCAAACTTGTCAAACCTGGGGCAACGAGGCAAAACGCAACACGACACAGATTTTCCCACCCTAGAAGAATCGACTATGTCCAAGCTAAACATGTAAATTATAAAAATGAAACGCCAGAATCAAGAGCATATAAACTACGTGCTATTACTATCATGTTTCCCTTGTTGGTTCTTCAACATGTTGAGTGCGGTACGATGCGCTGTGTAAACAAAAATATCCTGCAATGAGAACATGATGGGATGTCCTAATAATCAATGGCACAACTATGCCACATAGTCACGATGGGAATGGTACCACTCTCTTTCTTTATCAACACTCCCATGACTAGTGACTAATGTTCCTGCTGTTACGTACAGATAGTATGAGCAGCATTGCACATGCCATCACCATTACTATTACCGGTGCACCCCGCAATTCTTACTCCTGGTAGAAGTAATACGTCTGAAGGAATGCACATCTTACAAACAATATGTACGCAACATCACAACAGTTAATGACAGCAACACGAGGAGAGACAATGACAAAATTATGACGACTGCAACATCAACAACACCACCGACACCAACGGCAGCAGCAACAGCAGCAGCAACCATATTGATGCAACAAATCAGTAAAGCCGTTACCCACTGGCAACAAGCACAATGATAGTTGGAGCGTGCAAGACATCCATAACGGTAACGGCATTGGCAATGGTCGGCCGTAACCATAAGTCCTTGAAAGAATAGGGCTAAGTATCAGAGCAGCGACGGGTACAATAAGACAGAAAATATCCTGACTGTTCTAGCAATAGTGTCCGCACTGACAACCATAGCAGCATCCAGTACAACAATGACCCTAGCTACTATTATGACATAGTAATGCTGGGGCTGTCGCCACTCCCGGTGTCGTGCCGAATCTGGGAGATGCCGTGCCACCAAGAACTTCGACTCGACGGCAGTGGCCTGGAAGCGTGCTTCGGGATATCAGTGGTTAAAGGGGCCTGAGGGTTTGGGGCTCAAGGCTCATAGGTCAATACCAACCTCAACGCTTTTGGGCTGGGGCGTCAGAGATTCTGGAACAGAGTGTTAGGGGTCTTCCGTGCTCTGCGTGCTTCGTATGGTGCCATAGTTTGGCTTCTTGAGCCTTGGAATTTCGGACTTGTGGCTTCAACACACCACCCCTCGGCACCAGCCGGCTGTTGAGATGCAGGCTTCCTTTGAATCGCCGTTTGTCGGCGCAGCTTCCTGGAGCCAACATGCCAATGTGCAGGTGCTGCTGCGAATGTTCCGAAGCGTTTGTAAGCCCAGGACAGTGCGAGCCTTCTTTTGCCTAGGGATTCAAGGCGCGATGCTGTCGTCGCTTCGAACACGACCACCACGATTTCCAGATTCTGGGTTCCCGGCGAGTCTCCTTTGTCAGCCTGCGTGGAGTTCACCGTACCACGAGCTTTCTTGCACTCCCGGAGAGTTCCAAGCCTCCTCGTCGTCATCGACCTCCACGACATCCTTGCCATCCTTGGTTTCCTGGGGGTTCCCGGCCTCCTGGTTTTCGGCCTCGCCCTCGTTGGGCTCGCCCTCCTTCCAGAAACACTTGAAGAGCTACATGACTACACTTCTTGCGAGCGGAGGGTTTAGGGTTTAGGGTTTAGGGTTTCAACCGTTCATCAGCTTGACGACCGTAAATCGGACCCAGAGCAGATTCCAAAACCCCGGCCATTTGAACCATGCTCCTCTGTAGCATCGGGCTGCTCCGTGTCGCCCATGGCTCACCCTGAGCAAAGACTGAAAGATAATGTATCTGCATATCAGCAAAACACAAGGCTGGTAACAAAGACACAGAACCGACACGAGGATGATGACCAAGATGATCATCATCAGCACCATGACATCGTGATGTTGATGCTAGTGACCAAGATACAGATGCTGGCGATTCTGATGGTCATGGCCATGGCCATGATGATCATGACCGTGACGAAAGCCATGGCGATGAAGATGGGGCCGACGATGCTGAACTCGTACTGCGAATGATATGAAGATTCTGCCTTACTACAGAGACTACTACTACTACTACTACTACTACTACTACTACTACTACTACTATGACGACGACGACGACGACCCCCGCCGCCGCCACCACTGCTGCTGCTACCGTTACTTGACGATTACCACTCAAGCCTACGCCAGACATTAGACGAAATCTCCAAACAAATGCTCCGTCTGCATCCACATGCCAAAGGTTACGATTGAAGTAGGTGAGGAATCTAGATTGTAGTCCATACTGCTGTCGGCAGCTGCGTCCGTTGCCATGCAGGCTCTCCGCCACGGTCGACGCCCGCCGCCAGAGACTGGAGCTGGAGGTGGCCGCCAATGTCCGGGCTAAGTGCTTTAGGGGCGAAGCTCCCGGGAGTGCTTCTCATGGTCTGTACCCACTTTCTCCAGCGACCAGGGCAAGCGAAAGGCCATCCACAGCTGGGACTTCATGTTGTTTGGAGAACGGCCCTCTGCATGGGAGCAGCAGAAACAATTCACCTGCAGGTCGGCAAATGTCGGAATGTCGGATGCTCATATGTTGGCAATCGATCAGATGCCCTAGATTCCCTACAGCCCAAGGTTCAACGATGTCGCAAAGCCCCGTGCCGATCGGAAGCCAGCAGCAGCCGGATGGCCACAACGTAGCTGTTGCCACTGGCCACCAGCAACAAAGAATCTGGCAATTTCTTCCACATGCAGAAGGTCCCGACAGCTTCTGTCGGCATGATGGGCCATGGCTTTGGAAGTTGGCCGTTGCTCTGGCGCTCCAGAAAGGTGCCACCACCACGCAGGGCTGGATCGTATCTAAGGTGCGAAAAACTTACGCAGAAACGGCCTTCAACATCCCTTGCCGCTTACTCACACAATGACGTTCCCAAGAAACCAGCCTCAACAGAGCAACAACCCCTACGGGGAAGAACTGTGGCATCTCAAATCTCTGAGCAGCGTCGGCCACGGCCTGACCCGGGCTTCAAAACGCAGAGATCGAGTCTCGCCAGCCGGCAGCTCTGGTATGGCCCTCAGCTTGTATCCTGAGGCAAAGAGGCTAAAACCCAACCAGAACCCAATCCAGGCGCCTCCAGGCACGAGGCCCCTTCGAACTCCCGGCTCGGAGATCTCACGTGGGCTTTCCCGAGCCCGGAAGTAGAAGATAATACTAACAATCTTCGTAACACTACAACATACTATAACATACTAATACAGATAATAAGAATAATCACAATCATAAGAATCTAAGAAAGAAGAAACCACCACATAAACAGAGGAATTCCCATAGCTGGCCACCTTCAGCAGCGAAAGCCTTAATCGTGTGTTAAACGGACCCTTCTGACGACGTTCTTGATTAGCTTCCTCATAACCGTCAAAGTGCCGACGAGGTGCTTGGTGCCCGAATGCAGGGAATCGGGAGTGGGCACATCGCGCTGTTGGGCTTCTCTGATACCTACCAAGTGGAGCCCATGCGGCGGACAGGCTGAAATCCGAAGTCGAGGCTGTCAGACGCTCCAGATTCACGCTTACACCTCAATGTCTGCGTGGGTGCGACAGTCAAGCAGCTTTCAAAGGCCAACCCCAGCCCAACAAACTCCGGGTAGGACGGATGAAAACGGAATTGGGCAAATCTTCACAAGCGACATCCTTCTTGGAAGGAGATGCAAGAGACAGATTGCAGACTTTGCAGCCTGTTGGACCATTAGGACACATGTACCCGGCGCGCTCATAAAATTGCGAGGTGTACGGCATGCACACAGGCATACGGAAGAGAAGCCTGATCATGTACAACACAGAGGCATCGTCTCACGGCAACTTATACCAAGGTGCTTGGTCTACATGCCTCTTCAAGGATGGCTGGAAGCTGCCTATTCATGATGCTAACTAACCCTTAACCCCAAACCCTAAAATCCCTGTAGCACCCTGATCCAGCCGTTGAGAATGCATGCAATTACTGGTACGACACTCGCGGAATGCCACAAGATGCCTCCAAGAAACTCAGACAACACCTACGTGTGAAACTGTTTTTGATCAGTCGGCTAGCCTTCAGGGTTTGGGCCCTGAGGGTTTAGGATTGAGGTTCAAATTCGACCAATTGGGGCATCTTGCAGCACCCGGAAGGAACAAGAAAACGTGCTCATGATATCATTTCGGATCTCTGGAACCTGGCAGGGCTGCAGGCCGGCAAGATTTAACATAGCACAGAGGGAGCGGGGAAAAAACACACCCATATATTCTTGCATGGACGTATGTATGTATGGACGTATGTATGTATGTATGTATGCATGCATGCATGCATGCATGCATGTATGTATGTATGTATGTATGTATGTGTGCGGGTATGTATGTATGTATGTATGTATGTATGTATGTATGTACGTATGTATGTATGCACGTATGTCTGTACATATATATATATATGTGTATGTGTGTTTGATGTATGCTTGTATATACACATACCTACACGCATGTACATATGTATGTATACATCTGTATGTATGTATGTATGTATGTATGTATGTATGTATGTATGTATACATCTGTATGTATGTATGTATGTATGTATGCATGCATGCATGTATGTATGTATGCATACATGTATGTATGTGTATATGTACATATAAGTACAGGTGCGTGTGTATATATATATATATACATATATGTATATATATATATATACATGTGCGCAAGTATAAAAATTCAGAAATGCATACGTAGATAAATATATATATATATATATGTGTGTATGTATGTATGTATGTATGTATGTATGTATGTATGTATGTATGTATCTATGCATGTATGTGTATACATATAGACATTATATATATGTATGCAAACATATGTATGTATGTGTATATGTGTATATGTGTATGTAAATATGTTTATATCTATATGCATATAGATATATATATATATGTATGTCTATGTGTATGTACGTATGTAAGTATATATCTGTACATGTGCATTTCAGTATTTGTGTTTACATGTATATATGCATATTTGTATATATGTTCATATGTATAGATGTACATATATATATATGTATTACAAATATGCAACAATATATGTCTGCATTGCCCATTCTCCAGGCACCGGTATGACATCGTCTGAGGCACCCACGTGCTACTGGCCGCCCACCTCGCCGCGACCTGGTCTACGGCTTCACTGAGGCGTTAGACGAGAATTTCCGGGTGCATCATGCTATAAGCGTGCGAGGAATAGAAGGGGGCACTGTAATGAATCATTAGACCGCTTGTAAGCAAAGGAGCGTGGGCCGCGCTGCATCGACTGTGGTCGTGGCCTGTGGAGGTGACCCCATCAATGAGAGCTACGCTTAGAGCTACGCTTTAAAGAATCTTTGCCAGTGCACCTCACTTCCTTCGGAGGGCCGCCCTCAGAGCTCGGCTCAGCCAAAAGCAAGCCCAAAGAAAGAGTCTTCAGGACAGTTAAGGCTCGGGCGTCCAATTGCAGCTTGTTCAGATGCCTCAGAGGCAAGGCTTCTGGTCTCTGTGAAACGCAAACCTGTGGAAAGCCGAGCTGTGGACTGAGAACTTCTGAGTCCCTCCTCGCTTGCCTGCACCCGATCACCACGAGCATTATCGCACTACTACTACCACCACTACCACTACCACCACCACCACCACTATTACTACTGCCACTACAGCTACCACTACCACTACTACCACTCTTACTACTACTACTACTACTACTACTACTACTACTATTACAACTACGTGGTTAGCGGTAGCATGCGTTGTCGTCGTCGTCATCGTGGTCGTGTCGTCGTTGTCGTCGTACAGACTCAACGACAAGGTTCCTTATCATAACGAACACTTTGATTTACACTTCATTCCTTCTGAATCAGGAAGCTCAGTACTAGCACGAGTACTACCACTAGTACTACAGTACTAGTGGTACTAGTGGTACTAGTGGCACGAGTGGTACTGGTAGTACTAGTGGTCCTAGTAGTCCTGGTGGTACTAGTAGCACTAGTAGTACTAGTACTTCTAGTAGTACTACTGGTACTAGTACTACTAGTACTACTAGTAGCACTAGTACCAGTACTGGTACAGGTACTGGTACTAGTAGTAATAGCAGCAAGAGCAGGAGCAGGAGTAGTCGTCGTAGTAATAGTAGTAGTCGTAGTAGTAGTAGTAGTAGTAGTAGTAGTAGCAGCAGCAGCAGCAGCTGCCGCAGCTGCATGAGCAGTAGTAGCTGCAGAAGTAGTGGTGGCGGTGGTAATAGCAGTGGGAAGGAGTACCAGTAGCCGTAGCGGTAACGGTTGCGGCTGTTGCTGTTGATGATGATGATGTTGTTGTTGCTGCTGCTGTTGCTTGCTCTTGCTCTTGCTGGTGCTGTTGCTGTTGCTATTGCTGCTGCTCTTGCTCTTGCTCTGGCTGTTGCTCTTGCTCGTGCTCGTGCTCTTGCTCTGGCTCGCTCGTGCTCGTGCTCTTGCTGTTGCTCTTGCTCTTGCTCTTGCTGCTGCTAATGCTGTTGCTGCTGTTTTTGTTGTTGTTGTCGTTGCTGTTGTGGTTGTTGCTGGTGGTAGCAATAGTCGTCGTATTGCTCGTTGTGATGGCAATAGCACCATCGGTAGCTCAGCAGTGGAAGCACTGGTAACAGCGGAAGATTGTGTAGTACCCGTCGGCAGGAGCCACCGGTAGTCGAACTGACGAAACCAAAGTTAACATGATTACAGACTCCTCCAGTCGTCGCAGCGGCAGTTTCGCAGGCAAGCAGC